CTGATCTCTTATTTGAGAGCTGTGGGAGGGGAAAAAAGGGGACAGACAGACACACAGACACTAACTGCAATGACAAGACAGCCTATTTAAAGGAAGCTGAAATAAATTCTGAAGCAGCATTAAAAGCAAATGCCATCTCTTTCTTGTAGCCTGGGAGGGCAGTGATGTACACAGGACGAAGAGCAGGCTGCATGATGGGGAGAATTCAGAGCAAGGTCAACTTGCGAAGCAAGTGATGCACGACAGAAACATCGAATTGCTGAAACATCCCACAACAGGGAATACAGGATCTCAAGACCTATCTGGAGGACTTATTTGGCTCACCATACAAAAGCATGTCCTAGAATTAGCAACTTAAAGGTACTTTATAAAAAAATAAAGCTGGGACAATGTAATTGACTGTAAGCCAGACAGTCTTTAAGAATTTATAGAAAGTGGTTTTTACAGCAGTCCTGAAAAACCAACAAAGCGTGGTGGTTATCAGAGAGCACCATAACATGACACAGAGGTATGCAGCAAAAGCTGCTGACAAGGCACGGACCTTGCTGACTCTGCTGGAGATGACTTGCCTGCTGAGAGCTGGGAAGTGCCCAGAGGTCTCCTTCTGAAGGGCAGACAGGGCTGTAAAACCCACCACTTAAATCACAAGGACACACACAGCCCTTGAAGATGTAGATTCTTTCCAGATTTTGGGGTGGTGGTAGAACTTTTCGGAAGAAAACTGTTTTCTAGAATTGTTTGTTAAAAATAAAACCCAGTCAAAATCTCCATAAACTTGCTCTTTCTCAAAACCACCCTGTAACCGCCCAGTACATCTACCAGAAGTGGTGAGAGCTTTTCTAGGTTTTAGCATACAAACAAAATCTAAGAGAGGACAATTTTGGGTGTTGGGCAGAGAAGAGTTAACTTTTTGTTTTCATTATCCATTGATAATGTCCCCTTCTTCCCTTAAAATCAGGGTAGTCATTTTGACATAGTGCCTTAAGTACACTATCAGAAGGTTTTTGGTTTGGTTTGATTTTTTTCCTTCCTTTTTCAATGGCAACCAGAGTCCATCCACTGGAGTCTCTCCTCAACTGGGGCATTTCATCCCTCCTCTCCCTGAGCACTCCTGTAAGATGCTCAGCCATGCCAGGAGGCAGCCGAGCTTCCCCATTTCAAGTTTTTCTCTCTTTATAAAGAGGAATCCAAGGTCTGTGCTCGGTTTAATGGGATCAAGTTTAAGGTAATGAGGTTAGCAAACCTCTGAAGGGGCTTTTCATTTATCTGGAAGTGCCCTGCATTTGTGAAATATCGCTTAGGGGACTTTAACCTTTAAGGGATGTGTCAGGAGCTTCAGCTTAGTCCAGGGGACGGAGGACAGCCAGACCTGCACAGGAGGGTACCGGGAACTCAACCCAGGAAACGCAGTTCTGGTACAACCACCGTCCCACCACTGTTGCCTCCTCTCCCCGTCCTCTTGCCTGAAACCAGTCCTCTCGCCTTGCCGTCCTGCTGGGAACGCCTTTGTTCCTTGTGCTCCTAAACCCTCTTAATTCACTGCAGCGTGAAGTCATCCACCTTTCCTTGTTCAAACAAACAAACAAACACAAAAGAGGCTTTGAGCAGTTTGATGCTAGCAAACGTGTGTATACACACAAAGACACACCATGCACATTAAATACATTAAAATGTGTACACTGCCCAATCTTCTAAACTGTATAATCCTCCTGTAAGCAGTTTTTAATTCTCAGTTGATTAAAGTATTAGTACATAAAACATCTGTCAGAAATAAAGATTAGGCAATGGGCTCGGACTTGTTCAGGAGGTAAGCAAACAAGCAGCACAAATATCACACTTGTAAAATCCACCTCATGTAGTATTAATCCTTTCATTGCCAAGAACCAACATTTTATTGGCATGAGGCAGCAGAAAGGAGAATTTGTTGTTTGGTTGGTTTGACCAAGCTTCAGTTTCACAAGGACATTCTACTTACTTTTATGCTGACTCAACTGGAACACTGCACTGAAGGAAATATAAGGGGGTGTAACACATCTCATGGGCTGAAGCACAAAGCAGAAAACACAACATACTGTTCAGCGTAGACTGTAATCAATGTAACAATCAAAATTTAATTTTTGCCTTATTTTCAGAGACAAAGTCAGAATCTATGCATTCTAGGGATGATTAAAAAACTAAGAGGCTGGAACTTGACATGCATCATATGCAAAAACTAATACTTGTAATTTATAAAGAGAATTACAGTAAGATCAAACCTAAGAAATGCTTGGTTCATCATTACCCATCCACACTCCCAGCCTCCTCCTCACCTATCCTGGAACTTCTATGGGAAAAAACCCCCAAAGTATGTGGTCATATCCTTAAAAGTGCCCTTCACATATAGAACCCAATCAGTATCACTGCACGACATGCTCAATATGGACACACACTGCAGGAATCCCTAAGCTTGACATTTTGTAAAATTGGAATATTTTACTATGCAACCTAAACAAACATTTTAATGCAGATTTTTAATTTATATTTTCAATGGCATGAAATGGGACACTGTTAGAATTCTATGCCTCCAGTGGAGCTTCCACCCTGAACTTCAACTCCACGTGACAAATACCATCGCTGCAGCTACCTAAACTGACAGCAGACGCTGCTGTCCCAGATAAAAAGAGGGGGCACTTGGAGCCCTATACTGCCTCCACCATGAGGGAGGCTTACAGAAGACCATCTTACCTACTCGTCAGGAAGACTGCTGCCTCACACAGACAGCATCCCAAGAGAAGAGGTAGCAAAAACCTTGAGCTGAATTTGGAGAGAAAGGGAGCAGAACTTTGAAAAGCACACCACTTCACAGCTGCCCCCAGGGGCAAAGTGGTACGCGATGTTGTGGGTGTGCTGGAAACAGCACAGGAGGACCTTAGGACATCTGCTTGTTGCTCAAGTTAGAACATCAGCATTCTCCTGACAACGTGGTGGAAAAGAAGAGTCATTAAGGCTTCCAGTCAAACTCAGGGGGTGGCAATGATCATTTTTTGTTTTTTCTTTAAGCGAGGATAAACGTGAGGTATTTGCCTATCTTGCAGGTTTGTTTCTTCTCTACCCTCCCCTCCCCTTTTGTGAAGGACAGAAACCAGCTGCAAGAAATGGAGACGATTCAAAGCCTTTTAAAAGACTAGAATCTTTCACAAGGAATACATTAAGCATCTTGTGACCTTCGGCATCTGCAACTGGACAGAGACTATCAGGAATGTGGGAGCATCACGGTATTTAACACGTTATATCCAAAACAAGCTTGCACTTTCCGCACGACTTCCAGAAGAAAGCTTCTGGCAGAATCCTGGAAGTTAGACTGCACTTGGCATCAGGACAAATACCTATTTGTAATCCCTTGCTGCCCATCAATTAGCTACAGTAGGATAATGCTAGTAGGCTATTAATCAAAAATGGAAAAGGGAAATGTCATAAAACTCTTGAAAAGTAAACAAGATCAGTATTTAGGAGTGTCAGCATTATTCATGATGCTGAATTAACTTATTTTTAGGCAGTCGGGGAGGTTATAAAAAAAATCACAAGTTAAAAAAGTTCTTCCAAAATCAGACCCAGACACTGCAACTGTGATCAGGGCATCCACTTTATATACAGAAGGAACCAGAACAGAAATGGAGAAAGACACTGCAATATATTATTTTGATTATTTTATTATTTTTTTAATCTTCAAAATTTTCTGCCTTGAGACAGGAATGCATGATAGATAGAAATGGCTCAAACATCTTCACATGAAACACTCTTAATCATAATTCATTCACAATTATTTTTCTAAAACATCTACAGTTACATAATCCCACCCATTTCCATCCATTATCACAGATTTAATTATTTGTTAAACAGTAGTTGCCAGCAATTGAAAGCTGTAAGGCTTTTTGCATATTAGTAGAGTCTTCTGAACTACAAACACAAGAATATCACAACTATAACTCTCACTTTACATGGCAACCCCAGGTGACAGATGTTTCAAAAAGAAATGTGTTGCTTATGTGGAGTTCATAAAAATGACAGAGAGCGCTCTATGCCTCATTACCTCTAAAATCCTTTCTCCTTTTCTAAAGATTACTTCCTAAACCTACAGCATATTCCTCATTTGGAACCAAGAACTTTGACGAGTTTGCCTTTATCTTCCATTGCTGCTGCTTGGCAAATTTGCAAGTCAGGCACACGAGAGCTCTCCAGTAAAACTCTATGTACAGAGCACAGTTTAAACTGATGGGTTGCTTGGAATCCGCATCTCCCTCCATCGGGAGGGAACTACTTTGAGGTTTTCTGGAACTGTTGTAAACAAGAGGATACTTTATTATATATATGTGTGTGTATGTATACATTTATGTATTTTATATATAAATGTTCTAAATGTCCTTTGGGAGTCCATTTGTTTTTATCTTTCCAAATGATGACTAAATACCTGATCTGTAGCATTTCTCCTGAGAAGATACTAGTAAGGGAATGACAGTTTTGATGCACTTTGGAATGGCACAATCACGTAAACGCTTGCACAATTAAGACTTATGAACTCATCCAAAGTTTCTAAACATGATATTCTAACTAAGAACTAAAATACCAGCACAATGCAGCAAGTTAAAAAAGAAAATTCTATTTAATCAAAATATAAACAAGTACATAGGAAATGGATATCTGTCAGTAAATCTATTATCTTTTTAAAGTAGGAAACGTATGCACTTAAGAAAAAAATGTAGCTATCTGACAAACTTCGTAAAAAAAGTACTTTCCAAATGCATAACAAATGCCAAGATATCCCGTAACTGGCCAGGTATAGCCACATGAGAGCTGCATGGCTTAGAGCAACCCGGGGAAGGGTGGGGTGGAAACAAAAATCACAAAAACAATAGATCAGCAAGTCTGGGGGGGGGGGAATCACATCATCATCTAAATTACTGTATGCTTATATCACAACTGCTAAAGGAGCCAGGACGGGGGGGAAAAAAAAAAGTTGTTGAGATTGCAGTTTAATAATTCTTAGAGTTACCTCTAAAAATTCAAAAGATAAAATTAGCAACTTAATACACTAATCCTAAGCACCAATTTAATAATTTAAGGTAACTGTATTTATATTTCTCCTACTAAGGATGGAGCAAGTTCTGCTTGAAGGCTTAAAGTTTAACTCTGGAGCCCATCTGACTTCTGTGTTCTTGCCATGCTTCCTCCGCTGTTCACATCAAAGTCACCGTAAAGACTCTCTGAAGTTTCAAACTCTCTAGGCAAGCAATTCTTTGAAGAGACAATTACATCCTACAGTTGAAATCAAACTTTCAGGTCATGAAAAGTGAAGCACGCCAGTATTTGGTTAGTCTGTTATTAAACAGTCTGTGAAAATGGAACAGCTGACACCGTTCGTCAACAGGATTTGCCTTAGAACTAGCAGCACCCAGGGCAGACCAACTGCGAACACATCCAGGTTCCACTAGGAATTAGTAGTGTTAGAAAATTGCATATACGTTAGATCAAGAAGGCATCGCCATACACGTGGCATCATGAAGTTGTTTTTCCTCTATTTTTCTCACTAAGAAAAAACAAAGGAAAACAGCCCTACAAAGAGCTTTTTGGTTGTTTTTCTGTTTTGCTCATCTTTGCACCTGGAAAAAGCAGCACAGTACTCCCCAGCTGGAACAGCTCAGCGCTTCCCATCAGCTTAGTTCTTTCAGAAAGCACTTTCACATAGTTAAGGTGGTCTACTTCAGCTAATTCTCAGAGCTAACCTTTTTTCCAGTATATATTTCATGCCACTTCCCGACAGCAATTTCAGAACTGAAATGGATCTATGGTAGTGTCCACTACTAACTGTGACCAGATCTTGACACAAACCATCAAGCCAGGCCCTTGGGATGGTTCCACACATTGAACTGAAGCTCAGACTAAAAATCTCACTGAAACTCAAAAGCTGGAGTGGTCATGAATCTCAGCTACTTTTCCATATTTGAACCCTCACCCTGTAATGAAAGCACGCACACCAAGGGAAAATAACAACCGCCTGAGCTGGGAGCATTAAGACACCGGTGAGTTATCTTGCTGCTCCTCAGTGACTGTGGATTCACTGTGCTCCTCGCTCGTCTCGTTGGAGGGCTCCTCGTAGCCTGGCTCGGCGGGATCCAGGCTGCTCCCCTCACTTTGCTCCTCGCTTTGCTCCTCCGCAGATTGCTCCAAGTTGCTCTCCAAAGAAGCCGGAGAGCTGCCAGTTACACTTTCGGTTTGGTTCATTTCGTTAAAAGGCTGTGGGAGAGGTGCAGGAGACTGTACAGCATTTTCACTGGCAGCGATGGGCACTTTGGTTGCACCGATGTCTACGACAATGTCATTTTGTGGTAGAGTTACCTTCTCCACAAGTTTCCATTGAATAATACTCATGTCTTTCCCTCCAGTTGAAATCAAGTGACCATCGCTATGGGTGAAGCTGACATTTGTCACATGACTACTGTGGGCACTGTACTTGTGACTTGGAGCCTATTGAAAACAAGCAGAAAGATAAATCACATGCTTGACTAGAATAGCACATGATATCGAAATCAAAACTACTACTATTTTTGCTTAGCCCTTCAAGAGAGCCCTTTATTCACATAACAGTAAAGAATTGTATTTGTATGAGGTTTCCCCCCACAATACATCCTCTCTTCGCACAGCTTGTAACTTGGGACAGATTTAGATTTTTATGCAAAAAGTAATGGACTTGACACCAAGGCAAGCAAGCAGAAGGCGCCAAGCCTCTGCTCCTGAACTTAAGGATAACTATTGCCACTTCCCTCTTAGGCATATTATATTCTTTTATATTTTCTATTTTATATATGAACTTAATGGGAAAAATAGTGTCTCTAGCACTGTTCACAGATTTAAATGAGCTATTTGTCTGCCTGGTTCCAAAACGACCAAGCTGGAAGCAGGCGTCTGGCAAGGAAAGCTTCATGCAATGCAAACAAGCACATAGACTAGACTGGTCTAGACTTACCTTTGGCTTGGAACAGGGATACTGAAAGAGATGGACCTTACAAAAATCATCAGCAACTGCTATCACTTTTCGGTTATGGGATCTGACAAGGGCATTTATGTCTGTCCCATCTGATCCTTCGGGCCAAACTCCTAGGAAAGAGTAGAGCAGATATTTAGTGATGGTAGTTTTAGAAACAAGTTAAAACACAATCCACAAACAAAAATAAAATCTATAAAGTTGTGAAAAAAAGCCAAGCTTAACAAAAGGTAAATAAAGACATTCAACTGGAAAATGGAGTATACATTGCATTAAATGTCATTAATATTTTGCTAGTCTAATGCTGCTCCTCCACTCCCTGTTCCCCCCAAACCCTCAGCCTCAGCCAGGATAACCTCTCGGGCTTAATATACGTTTCCTGTTCAAAATCTCAGTCTTGTTTAAAGCTTATCTAAAGATTAAGTTTGTTGCTAAAACTGGCAACTCTTAATTTAACGCTTTCATTCATGCACAAACATTTTAAAAGCAAGACTGATGCTGAAGTTTGGAACAAGCCCAGGTACCGTACATTATGCAGAGATTTCTTTTGGTTTTATTTAAAATCTTAGTATTTGCATGATTCAAAGGAGACGTCTGATTGATGATACTTTGCACAGAAACCCAGCCTGTATGAGTCTCATAGATGAAAGTGCTGTCAAGTGCTTAAGTACAATTCAATATGCTTTTAAGTGAAAAGAATGACACAGATATGTCTAGACAAAAGAATAACAACATTGCCTGGGTGAAAAGCGCTGAACAAATTGGGGAGGGGGAAAGCTCTAGTTTTAACAAAAAATAAAGACCCTAGACATTCCCTTAACAAAACTGATCTGAACACATCTGCAAGTAAAGCTGAACAAAAGGTAAGCGAGGGGTTCTAAGATACTAATTTATGCCAAAGGTACCATATTTTTACAGCTCAGACTTGGGTTCAGGAGTTAGGAGGAATTTCCCCTCCCTCAAATTTCATACTCGACCCCGAAAAACTGTGTGTCCAAATGACTGAGAGGAATGTTCATTAGCAGATAGGAAAATGTAGTCTTCCTCCCTTACAATCACTGACTTTGGTAAAATAAAAAACACATGCTGTCTACTATTTTATACAGCACAAAACACTGACTTAGAATTGCCTTATCTTTTTCAAACTCCCACACTCTCTCTTCTTGTTTTTAACCAAAATGGCAAATAGCGTTTAACTTTAAAGTTGTTTTTTTCCATTTTTTCAGTGGGTAAGAACTTTATTTTCTCTGAAGAATAACAACAGCAGCTTGTTAAGCTTGTTACATTGCCAATAAGCTACATGGTAGATAATTTACTAAATAAAGACATGAAATGCTGAGGAAAGTATTCAGAAACCTTTTAGTGCTCGCACATCAACGAAACCAATCTGAAAAATACATACTATTGAAGAATTTTCAGGTAGCTCAAAATGAATGAATTTTAACCTCCTCCTGCATTCTATATATAAAATACTGTCATCAGGTGGGAGTAATGAATTTCAAATCAGTTTCCTGAAGTTTCAGCTCCCACCGTAGGCAGACTGTGCCAAAGAGCTACGCTATTTCCTCTTTTTAGCTTAAGATAAAAAAGACCAATATTGAAGATTGCATCTCTTATTAAACATCTTTTGTGTTCACAAATTCCTTTAGCAGCTCTAAAGGTAAGACAACCCTTTGTCATAAGACAGCAGTATTTGCTTTCACTGCATCAGGCAAACACAGAAACCTCAAGACATTATTATGACCAATTTCTTAGTTCTTAGTAACTGTAACGTTAATAACCAAAAAATTAGAAAATAATAGGACTTTGTTATTAGGTACGACAGCAGCACTTCCATTTTAATAAATTCTGCTAGCCAGAAGTAGGCCTCTCAAAAGAATCTGCTCAGACCAAAGTGTGGGAAATGTGCAGTAAAGGAGAGAGTGACTTGAGGTGCAGACTGATGATACCGCTGAGCCAATGCAGTAACATCAACTGCCAAAAAGGAGCAATGCTATTCTCATCCGAACCATGCATTTCCATTCCCCTTTCTTCTGCTGACAACAGTGCAATGCCTGAGCCTACGGACACACTATCCACAGAGCTAAATTAGTAAAACACATACCCCAAAAGCCCAAATCCCATAAACTTAACCCTCCCTCCTGAACATCAAAGTGAGCAGTCCACAGCTTGTTTGGATCCCTGAGCCAGCTGACCCTCGGGTCAAAGCTAGACTTCTCCTTTGGGCAGCAAATATCTGCTAGGTTGGCTTAGCTGCTTTGTCTGATTTAATGGGAAAATACTTGCCTTTGTCTGAGAGCAAGCCATAATTTTAAGATTCTGCAAAGGGTGTCAAACTACCAGACAATATAAAATTAAAGCATGATGAATTTTGGCTAGGAAGTTTAAATACATTTTGTTCTGCCCCAGAATAACATCACATTATCTATCTGCTTTATCTACTTCACTCTCAAGTCCTCTGGCACACTGAAGATTTTGAGAGCAGTTGAGACTAATTAAACTTAATCCAGAGTGGTTAAAGTTTGTATTAATCCGAAAGGGAAAGCAGACAGAATCAGCAGATTCATCCACTTTCTAAAAACAAAAAGTAAGAAGGCTTCTCAAAGCAGTGGTTATGGGAGCTGCTCATCTCCAGCCTGGCCCCAGTCACCAGTAGCTTCTACCCAAAAGCTGTTGAAGAGACAAAGCCAATGGTCTAGACGTGAAACCAAACTCTTTCTGCACTCCTACATCTCATCGCCTTAGGTCAGGAGTAAAGGACACTTCTGGGAAAGCACTGAGATTCAGAGAGCTGCTCCCCTTATTCTGTCTGCTCTACCACCACACGTAGTGGTGAGAGTTCAGTAGCAACAGAGTCACCATCTGCTACCTCCAGATTTCTGGTAAATTTAAGTACTCTGCAGAAAATGTAAAACAGTTTCAGCTCCAAGGCAAGTGCAGAAGGTATATTCAGTCCTTACAAAGTTTTTTCATTGCTCCTGGAGAAAAACATCATATTAGTGTCAAACAGAGTTTTGCTTTTCACTTTCTCCAATGTCTCCTCAATCTTCTGATGTTCCATTTAAAAAAAAAAAAAAAAAAGCATTTGTGTTGCACTGTTATTTCAGTCGCACTAGCAAAGACAGTGAGGAAACAACTGCTGCGAACCAATCAATTCCTTGTCCACCTAGGCTTACATACACAGAGCATCGGGAGGAAAGAGCCATCCACTCTCTACTTCGCCCAGACAGACTGAGTAAAAACAAACACATACACAACCTGGGTCACAATTCTCAGGCTAACGGGAGCCAATATTTTCATCAAACTTGCAATAAGCAACAGTATTCAGCTCCATAACCAACAGGCTCCTGTTTATTTCTGCTACCTACCTTAAGCTCCCAACAACCCCAAATATTTATGCAGTTTATCACCCAGTCAGCTTCCTTCTCTGACCCCTTTGTTTTCCCTGCTCTGCCTCAGATCTTTGCTACCCAGAAAGGAATTCAAGGCTGGTTATAAAGCACCAAACGCCCCCCACCTAACCAATATGCCACACCAGAGTGTCAGCGTTAGCCCACAAAATCAACTGCAATCTTTTAAGACTACTTGCTCATTAAGCACATGACAGTTTGAAAATATGCACGATAGGTGTAAGAAGCTACAGAAATCACTCAGACTTGCCTGATTTTCTTCTACTCTGCATATAAACTGATAGTCAAAGTTGAATTCCTAGTAGCTGTGAAGAAAAGATTTGTAGACCTAACCCTCACCTCTAAAGAATTTGCTGATTTACCTGCTTTTGATGTTTCCTACATGAAGAACAGAGGCACGTATCTGATCTCAGCGGTGGAAGCGAGACATTCAGCATCCTGCTCACACGACTTGGTTTTACAGCACTGACAGGCTGAATCACACTTTTCAATCCCTCACAGAGGGGCTCCTCATTTATGGCCAGAGCTGCCTTAAGCAAAAGCAGTTTGAACTGTTTGGCCACAGTCTCAAACTGCACTATTAAAATCAGATCTGGCAGCTTTGTAAATTTTTGTGTACGTTTTTAAAAGAAACTACTAGGTAAAGAACGTGCTTAAGATTTAAAGCATTTTTACTCTTTAGAAGCAGTGTATATCGCTCACCTTTGACTACAGGTGTCAAAGTGCTGTCATGATTTTAAGTCATGAACTATAACCTACACCCACATAGTCTTGTTCCTATCCCAAAACAAGGTAAGCAAAGGAGAATGGACATGTGCCATATGAGCACTTTAAAATATCAGCTTTTTGCTTCAGTGCCTCCAAAATTGGTAGCCTAAAACAGCAGCAGAAAAATCAAATCCCAAACTTCAAGACTAAATAGAAATCAATTATACACTGTCTATAGAGCATCCAGTGCTCCGTATCACAGACAAGTATTGCGGTCGGTCCCTTTGGTCTGTCATCTCAGCATCGTGCTCAATAATCATTAACAGCACACTTCTAATGACAAATTGAAGCAAAAGAAAACACAAAAGCACAGTGTGAATAGCTTATAAGCAAGTTAAATGGTGCTTACCAAACACCTGGAAGCCTAGCACACAAGTGTATGTCGTCCAATCTATATCCTTACAGTCAGAACGATTCCTGATTAGCTTACAGCCACTTGGAATGTCCCCGAAAAAAAAAAAAAAAAAAAAGTGAATGATGACCTATGCTATATAATTTTATATTTACATACGTGCTTTTTGAAGGTGCTAAGACTGTAAATAAAGGCATCTTAAACCCAATCCGGAATCACACTGTACAGGCAAAGACAGACCAGTACCTTTACCAAATTCCAGATACTCTATGCTTCGTTTGGTATTTAAGAGTCACATTTACTTCTCATTTCCCTTTCCAGATCAGCCTGCCTCAAAACCACTCCCCTGCAGCTTGGGTCCCCTGCTACCTGCTCTACAAAATGCTTTAATAGAGTCTGTAATAGAGTAATTTCTCCTTCCTAACAGCTCCATTGATGTGCTAAAATTCAATCAATCATTCAGGAAGCTCTGCTTTTCAAACAGTGAGAAACCACTGCCAGAGGAGCCTTAGACTGCTTTTCAACTTCTAACTAGGAAAGGAAAGATTGTTTCCCAGAAGAATGTCCATCTTTCAATACACTG